ACAGTTAGTCGGCGTGAACACGAAGGACAAAAAGATCCTATAAATCGTAACAAGGAAGGGTTGCTACTCACCAGGGGGGTGCATAACGCAACACACAACAAATCCACTGATAGAGCTGCTTGCCAAATGCAGAGCTGGTCCTTCCTCCATGCCGGCATGCTTCACCAGGCGTCTCTTGGCAAAGAAGTAGGTGGGCAGCTGGACAGAGCTGCCAAATCCGGTTCGAATCATGGCAGCGCTAACACCTCGATACAAGCCGCCAATGCCCTCGCTCTTGAAAATCTGTGTCAAGCCATCAATGGCGTTGCGGTACTGGTGCTGGGTGCCCACAGGCCGGAAAGGCGAGTAGCTCTGGAGACGAGTCTTGACCAGGAAGAACGGGCTGCCCGCAGCAGCTCCCATCATGCCGGAGGTGGCACCGCAGAACACATTGATGAAGAGATTCTGCGCCTTCTCATCCTTGTGGATCAGCCTGGCCAGACCCGCGCGCATGGGCTCGTAGAATCCAAGACGGCACCCATTAAGCAGGATTTGGTAGACGTAGGCGCATCCGATACCTCGGTAGATGCCGCTGAGGCCTTCGTTTCTCACAATCACACTGACGCCGTGGATGGGCCCCTTGTAGTGCATAGTCTGAGCGCCCTTGAGTTGTAATTCTCCCTGCAGCTGCATTCTACATATTCAAGCCAGAGGTGTCAGCCACTGCGCAGCATTCCGGCGTTCGTCTGAGTAGCAGGGGATTGCGAATTACCGAATTTTGACCGTCTCGAACGGGTGCGTCGCGGTGACGGCGCCGCAGGCTGCAATGCCGCCGCCGATGAAGGCTCTGTATAACGAATCGATCAGTAATTTGCGACAGAGATTTGCATTGGCACCTCTCGTAAAGACATACCCAAGTGTAGTAGACATGTTGAGGGGCTAGAGGCGGAATAGGCGGCACGGCAAAGAGTAAGGGCTCAATCTTCGAGTCTACGGTAATTCGATCTTCAGGTTGAGACAAAGCTCGGGCAGAATGGATTTAATCCGTCACTTCCAAAGAGCCCGAGAAAACGCGACAGTGGGCAAGCAATCACCGACGAGTCTGCGACCTTGATGTTGTCGAGAGCCAGTCAGCATGGTGTCGGCCTAGATGAAGTGTCGCTCCAGTAAACTCACATGGTACTGTTATCGGATATAGTGACAGAGATGGGGTTTGGGAAGGGTTGCAGTGCGAGCAAGTGACGCTCTAATTATCGTCTGGCCGCACGCCCTACCTGCAGATGATGGAATTGCGGCATTGAGGTGAGGGAGCACGGGTAGAGGCCGATATCCCAGGCACGGAAACTTTGTGCCGACGTCGGCCGCGACGAATTGGGGCCCCGGTATTAGCAGCAGGAATTACAACAGAGGAAATCTTACCAGTTGGGCCGCTCCAGCCCAACTAAGCCCTTTACGTATCTATAGTGGCTGACCAATACCCCAGGCAGCCTCCCAAGCTCCGATCCAGCACTTCAGTGTACTGTTGGTATGCTATCACTTGAAGCTTCCGAGTGTGAAGTGGCTATTTGGACTTGGTAAATCGCTCTCGTTCTTCCCGGGTTGCCTCCTTCTTTCTTCCAAGAGTCCCAATTGTCCGAATCTCATTGAATGGCCCAAAAACCGTGTTGCGCGACACCCCAACCCGAATCGAAATCTCTAAGCCGTGAATTTCCTGACGTGGGCCGTGGAGCCGTTTGGCCGCCACTATCCGGTCTTTGGGAGCTGCCGTTTAGTGATGGGAGTTATTTCTAGTGGACATGTACGGACAGGCATGGGCAGAACCCTTCGGGCGGGCGGTTACAATAGCGTTTGTAGCTGTTAGCAAGGCATGGGTGTTATAGAAACCTTCCTCTGGTCCTAGCCAAAAGTAAGAGGTGCATTAATACGGCTCCCTTGCCCCCCACATGAGCTATGATGTCCTGAGGCTGGTCACCACAAAAGAGCCCAATGGATGAATTCATCCTAGCGATAGTGTACCACGTTTAGGGACCCCTAGCAGGGCACATCTTCAAACCAGATTTGATGCGCTAATGGGAAAATGATAGTATGTACTCCAGTGTGTTTTATCAAGATATAAGGTATCGTGTGGCTGGTGCATTGCTTGGGGTACCTATGGAGGATGGACCCACAGCTGCCACAGCTTTGGTCCAGGTTCACCATTCGCATCTACATTCAAGCCTAGATTGTCTCTGATATCCATCCAGCCCCACCAACCCTCAGACGAAACGCGTCAAAGCAGGAAACCGTGCGACAGTATTGTAGGCGACTCCCACACGCTGACACGAATATTGGGAGACTGGGAACTTCAAGGCAAAACAGACATCACCCGCCTCCTCGGGGGCCAATTCGAGCACACCGCCGAGATGTCGTCCACCCCAATGGACATCGACCGCACTACATCTTCTACGCCGTCGCTCAACATCCACAGAACAATTGGTTCGAATAGCGGGAGCCCCACGTCGAACCTGAGCGATGTTATATCTACATTTCGCCCGACCAAGGTATGATTACTGATACGTACCTAGAAATAAAAAAAAAACGAGGCATACTAACACCCAAGCCGACAGTTATTCAAACGTGACGACGCCAGAGACGGACGACAGCACCCTCACATCCAATCACTCGACTACGATGACGATGGAGAGCTAGTTCTTGCTTCGTACAGCGACGAGACGATCCAAATATACAGCGTGAAAGAAGGACGCCATGACAAGAGTGCTCTGAGTAAAAAGTATGGCGTGAAGCTCGCCAAATTCACACACACAAACTCGAGTATAATCTACGCGAGTACAAAACAGAACAGTAAGCACGATTGGAGCACCAAGAAAACCTATCGGGCGAACAATTGTGTCTAACATGAGCCTCCTGCAGATGCGATCCGCTACCTCGCTACACATGACAACTCATTCATTCGCTATTTTGAAGGCCACGAAGGCGATGTGACCTGTCTCAGCGTCCACCCCGGCAGCGACACATTCATATCTTGCTCCCAGGATAATACAGTTCGGATATGGGATACGCAGTCGAAGCACTGGCAAGGGCAACTCAATCTGAAATTACCCACACTCGCCGCCTATGACCCCTCGGGGTCAGTATTTGCTGTAGCCTGTCCCAGTGCTGGGTCGATATTACTCTACGATGCTCGCAATTACGATAAGGCTCCATTCAGTACAATAGACATTGTTGAGCAGGGACGGAAAGTTGATACCCAGTCTCTTGTGAAGGGCTGGACTAAGCTGGAGTTTTCTAATGATGGCAAGTCATTGTTACTTGGCACCAGAGGTGGTGGCCACTTTTTGCTGGATGCGTTCGAGGGAACTCTGAAAGCCTATCTTTACAAGGCATCTGGCGGTACACGCCGGTTGGCGCCAGGCGAGACCGGCACTGCCAATGGCATCGGAGCGGACAGCGCGCCTTTGGACAGCAGCGGTGAGTGCTGCTTTACGCCTGATGGGCGGTATGTCATCAGCGGAACCAAGAAGGATGTCCTTGTGTGGGATACACGAAGTACACCAGGCGAGAATAAGGTCCTTGAACCAACTTGGACACTGCCTGATAAGAGAGAGGCTGCTGTATTATCATTCAATCCCCGATATAATTTCTTTGCGACTGGAGACCAGGAGCTGGTATTTTGGCTTCCTGATCCCCATAGCTAAATAGTCGACACATAAGAGGAAATGGTTGGGTAATGAAGGAGGCATAGAATCTATCACAGTGAAATCGGATGCCGTGGTCATGGAGACGTTGGCCAGCTCTGAGAAAGTTGGCAACTGCCTGTGCCATCCGAAGGCGTACAGGGTATGTATGGGTATCAAGTTGAGGCTGGAGCTTAATTCAAGGTGCTGTTACCGCCACTCCACAAGTGCCCCACCAGAAGAAACGCTGTCGAACCTTCGTTGTTCAACACAAGCCACATCCATCACTTTCCCATACCTCAATCAAGCATCTACCTCGAGGCTTTGGACTTATTCTTGCACGGGCTCTGTCAATTCACTTGGATATCATCTCTGGCGTATTGCATGGGACACTGTTTCTTGGTCCAAACACAGACACACAAAAATACGCTCTGCGTTCGAGCACGCGGGAAGCGCAACTGATCATGCCCTACTTCACCACCGCCGAAGAATGGCTCGAGCAGTCCAAGCTCCTGCTTGAAGCCAGACCGTCGACCGTACGAAACGCCCCCAGAAGCTGTTGTTCCACCCACTAATGCATCGTAGACGCGCATCACGACCAAATACTCCATCAAACCCGCCCGACGACCCCGCAAAGAGGCCAAACCCGATGAAGAGGCCAGACCGCCCCGTGGCTCCCTCGTGTTCAAGACATACGACCCGGCGAGCGGCGTCGTTCTCCAGTACCGCACTAGCAAGGCCGCCGAGGTTTCGCGACTCATCCACTCGAGTCTGGGCAGATTAAGTAGGGGCATGGCCGGTGTACCGGAGCCACCTGCAGAGGAGGCAATGCCGGATGCTCCTACCGCACCTGATGCTGGAAACGGGGACTCGGTGGCGGCTTCACAAGCACAACCACAACAACCAGTGGGAGGCGGTGGTGGCAAGAAGAAAAAGAAGGGCAAGAAATAGAGCCGAGCGAATCTCATATATCATTTCCTCTCCTCGTTTTAACTATGTTGGTATCGCTTGCAAGCATTTTTGAGACGATAAACGTAGAACGCAAAGTGGACTGAGCAATCTTGTTGGAAAGTATGTAAACATTTATTTATTTATTACCTATGAAGGTTCTTTCTCCGTGTATTCTGCCATCCGTCGTATCATATGTGCTTGACCCATACCCAGTGTATTATAGACAAAAAAAGAAAATGATATTAAACCCCAAACGCCATCAGTGAGCCCCCGAAGCAATAAATCGTAACCAAGTGTAAGCTTGAAGTGCGTTTCTGACCCAGCATAACGCGAACATGCCGCCGCAATGTGGGATATCAAGTTGGGAGGCGATGCTCTTGATGTTTCATTAAATGTTTAGAAATCGTCATCAAAGCTGAAGTCGCCACTCTCAACCTTGTTTTCGGATGTGGTCTCCTCAACGTTCTTCTTGGTGCTGGCCATGACACCGGCCTTTTGGTAGTCACCGACGCGCTTCTCGAAGAAGTTGGTCTTGCCACCAAGGGAAATGTTCTCCATGAAGTCGAAGGGATTGGTCGACTTGTATACCTTATCGTTACCGAGAGCGACCAGAAGACGATCGGCAACAAACTCGATGTACTGCTTCATCAAGTTGGCGTTCATGCCCAGCATGGCGCAAGGAAGAGACTCGGTCAAGAACTCCTTCTCAATAGTGACAGCGTCAGTGATGATGGTCTCAATGACCTCCTTGCTTGCACGGTTGTTCAGGTGGGAGTGGAGCAGGCAAGCGAAGTCAGTGTGAAGACCCTCGTCACGGGAGATCAGCTCGTTGGAGAAGGTGAGACCAGGCATCAGACCACGCTTCTTCAGCCAGAAGATGGAAGCGAAAGCACCGCTGAAGAAGATACCCTCGACGGCGGCGAAGGCAACGAGACGCTGAGCGAATGTGGACTTCTTGTCCTGGATCCAACGAATTGCCCAGTCGGCCTTCTTGCGGATGCAGGGAACTAAGGTTGGTTAGCCATGGTCGCCACCGACGATATACATGAGAAAACGTACTGGTCTCAATAGCATTGAACAGGTACTCGCGCTGAGCCTGTTCCTTGATGTATGTGTCGATGAGGAGGGAGTAGGTCTCTGAGTGAATGTTCTCCATCATAATCTGGAATCCGTAGAAGCAGCGGGCCTCGGGAATCTGGACCTCAGCGCTGAAGCGCTCAACCAGGTTCTCATTGACAATGCCATCAGAGGCAGCGAAGAAGGCAAGAACGTGAGAGATGAAGTAACGCTCGTCATCGTTCATGCGGGTGTGCCAGTCGTGGAGATCCTTGGACAGATCGATTTCCTCTGCAGTCCAGAAAGAAGCTTCGTGCTTCTTGTACATTTGCCAGATCTGTTCAGTGTCAGCGTCTTGTCGCGATGTGTGCCAAAGCCACTTTACGCGTTAGTGACGCGTGACATACCTCGTGATACTTGATGGGGAAGAGGACGAATCGGTGGGGGTTCTCTTGGAGCAGAGGCTCATCAATCTCCTCTGGCTTGTTTGCAACCTCCTTCTCGGTCTCCTTCTCGGCTTTGACAATGTCATGCCTGACATCGACCTGCTTAGAAAGAGTGGAGAGTGTTGCCTGGTCGACGGGGTGGTTTTCTTTATCTTCGGGGTGGAAGTTGATCTTCTTGATGGGAGACTCGATCTTGAAAGAGTCAATGGCAGCAGCGGCCTACGATTAACGAGTTAGTTCCTGTCGATGTTCTTGGTGGCGACGGTGAAGACGTCACTAACCTGCTTGGAAGGGGTGGTGTCGGTAGCCATTGCTGAAGTGTAAATGCACAAAGATATCTAAGTTGGAATGATCGGTAAAGGGACTGAAGAGAGATATCAGTTCTCAGTTACAGGTCAATCTTTGAGCGTTGTCGTGATGGTTGAAGGGTTGGAGTGGGAGGGAAGCCATAACGGTTTTTGTACATTGAGATGGAGCGTCGTCACGTGTTCCGGACGCGTTCAGCGCGTTTTCTGCCGCTAGGATAGTGGGCCAATTTAGCAATTCGACGCCATGCTCATCTTAATTTTCACCAGTTATATTAGACCCAACCACCTGTTGCCAAGAGCGACGCGTGCCTGTCGCGTCTATGTATGACCAGCCATCCACCTGCCCCGCCAAGCCGGCCCTTGCAGCATCCTGCATAGCTTTCTGATTAGCCTTTGCCTGATTAGTGAAACGTCATCCTGGTTTATCAATCAGCTAGCCAACCGCCTCACAGCGCTGCTCGACGCCCGTGAGTCACGACTTTAGCGATGTGGATTAGGACGGGCTGGACGGGTTCCTCGGTTATACCAAGTTGCTCTTCAGCTGGGATCGTTTTATCAATCTGAAATGTCGAACTAATCGCGGGTTGCATCATGCACAACGTCAATCCTTCGAGATCTACATCGAGGCAAAAGCAAGCACCGAGTGGATGCGGAAATACGGAAATATTAAATTACACCCTACCCCAGAGTGGCGTACCGCAGACAACTGCAGTTCGAATCCATATGCATGACACCCCTGGACCGATCAAACGAGTGAAACCCTGACACGCTGACATGGAGTGACAGCTACATGCATATGTCTTCATGTCTGCATAAACTCCTTACACATGTCTGCATCTTTGCATAAACTCAGAGCGGTGAATATTTCGTTGCAACCATGAAGTCTGAACATGATATCATTGAGATAGATCATAACACTTTGGCATTATCGTCGGTATTTACCGCCGACTTCTGCGGTCCCCTCTGCGGGTATCGTATCGTGAATCGTGCAATTGTCCCATTTCCACATCGCGTGGACGCGATGTCTTCCGGCCAAACCACCCGTGACTTTCTCGGGTATGAGGAGGCTCTGGTTCTCGTGGGGGGCGTGGATGGTGTGAGTCGTGTCTATTGTCTCGGGAGTTCTCCCGAGAAGGTTGACGGGAGGGTGGGCGTGAAGCAATCTCCCTCTCCATCCTGTCGAACTCATCGGCTTCGCTAGGGTCAACAGCTGGGAAAGCCTGGCCAGCCTCCCTCAGGTGAACCTTTCCTTTTTCTCTGAGATGCTCTTCGAGGAGCACGGCATTGCGAGTGTTGGCACGGAAAGCAGCGTCTGCCAGATCGCCGATCAACGGCACGATGCCGATAAAGAAATCAAACACGATGTTGAACAGCATTTTGATTTTGACGCTGTTTGGCAACCCGCCCTCTATGCCGGCGCATGTTCGCATTACCATGAGGGCAAGTAGCGCATCAAGGGCGTCACCGAATCTATGCAAAGTTTTAGCCTCCCGGTTATCCCAATATGAGAAAAGACTACACTCACGCAGGAATAAAACCTAACACAGTTCCCCAGCCAAAACTCATACCGGCAAAGTTGAAGAGACACATGTCGAGCCGGTAGGCTCTTCTCTTCACCTTGGTCAAAACCATGGCGTCATGATCAGAGATGCCCGGTGGCAGCGCCTTCTTGCGCTTCTTCGTTCTTCCGCTCCTGCTGGGCTTGCCATCTAGGCGGGTTGCTGGCACAGTCTCAAAGTATGGGTCCTATGCTTAAATGTTAGCTCTTCTAGTTTCCTCTATGACTTCATATTCTAGGTTAGTGAACGCACCGTTTTACCAAACTTATTTTCGATCGTCTCTCCTAAAATCTTTTTCCCCACGAACTTGGCCACGAGCGATGCCATGGCTGCAGAAGCTCAGAATGATGTAGGATGCGTGATGTATTGTAAAAGTTGAGGAGGCTGGATGGGTGAAGGAGCCAACGCACCAGCTTGACACAGTTACCTGGGCTTAGGTGTCTCGGCAGGTGTTTCACAATGCACCTTTCAAGTTGGAATCAAGAAGTAGGTAGATTCCATCAACAGGTTGGTAAAAGAGGTCAAAGCCCTTATATGCCCATGTGAAGGCGAAATCAATCTCTCTACGTAAATTCAAGGTATATGGGTAGCTCTTGACCAATTCAGCGCCGTTCCTTGATTTGGGATGCCATGATGTAATCCATATCAAGGGCGGTCTAAGCGTTCATAGTTGACGTGGTTTCACTACCTTGACAATGTGGCGTGATATCGCTGATTGGCTACTGTGCGCACAGCCACACACCCTTCATCCACCCAACGCATGTGGCTGGGCTTTTTACTCGTTCAGCTGAACAGGTTTAAAATGTCCACTTGATTGTTGGGGCTGCGCCACACCGGGTGTTGAGCCACCCGAGGATGCTCGACTCCCTTGAATTCTTGCTCAGTGCTTTGATATTGAAGATCTGTTGGGGAGACACGCATACAAGTGTGCCAATCCGATCAGTTAAGCCATCTGGCAGCTCTATGTTGTTTAGTCGTCGCAGCCTCCTCTACGAAAGTCTAGAACGATCTCAGCATTCGAACTTCCATGTTGATCACAGCTATTGTATTTGATTTGAAGTAGCTTAACTGTATCACCGGCGCATAAAATATATGAACCAGCCTTGAGGATTATTAGCCCACTATAGACAGACATCGCTTTCTAATCGCTAGTGCTTTCAACTGCTTATATACCGACTAAGCCGTTTGATGCCAAAATTTGAACCAAAGAATGTGTGCAAGTTGGCCAACAAAACCAGGATACCAGTTATCTCTTATTGTTTGGCTGTATGGACAGCTGGATTTGCTAAGACAAAGAGAAAAGAAAAGAACAGTTGCCGCCCTATATTACACGACCCATGGTTTAGGCCCCAAAAGTGCATCTAATCGTAACTCCAACAAACTCTGAAAAAGGAAGAAAGGCCTTTCAGCAAGATTTACTTGATAAAAGGCGTGAGTTGTAAAATAGTCCAATCCTGCGCTGGCTAAGAAATGATATGATATGTGACCGGCACCAATCAATAAAAGAAAAGGGCGAAGGAAATAAAAAAAGATGAAGACGAGTGTCGAGCAGACCCAAAGAGAGAGAAAAGGTCGATTCGTCGTTCTCAGCACTTCTTAGGAGAAGCTCACAAACTTGGGGTCTCGTGGGAGGCCGTCAGGTCCAATGCCGTTGGCTTTGAACCGGTTTTCCATGTAGACCTTCCTGGCTTGGTCGAATGTCATCCGCCTCTTTTTCATGATTTTTGTGATTTCCGCTTTGGCGGTGGTGTCTAAACCTTGCCTGCTGTCTCCGGCTTCCACATTTGCGTTGAGATCGAAATTGCTACTGGACAAGCCGGCCTCGATGTCGTCCGCGAAGCTTGTTGGTAGGCGCGAGTAGAGGTAGTTGGCTCCTGGGACATGAACATCCTCAAGAAGCGGGAGCCAATAGCTGCGAGTAACAGCCACAGCCGTCACAAAGAGGATGAATGAAAAACATATGGAGTAGAGAACGTAACCCATCCTGATGCGATATATGGAGTGGATGGTTGGGAAGGAGTCGGAGCAACGGGTGTATCGGATTCAGCGGCCTCGGTAGGCGGATATTGATCGAAGAAGTGGAGGAACGTGTGCGAGTCGACTGTTCAATCAAATGTGAATTCTGCTAGTGAGAGATCATTGCAGAGAAGCAAGCTGGGGCACGTCCGAAGTAGGTGTCGTCGCCATCAATAAGTCCTCCGGGCGAGAACGGTCATCAAGAGGACTAACGGCTGAATCCAGAAACAGCTGACGTGAACACAGTGGGTCCTCACTGCCCCTCTAGTGAGAGTGGGACGGCCACCTTGGCAAGACTCGCTGATAAGGACATCGATAAGAGCCACGATGGCACTAACCGTAATGCGGCAATTAAGCGAGCCCACACTTTCGATGGAATCAATTTCGACTGAAGCCTCACAAAGAACTCTGGAAGACTCGAACTCCCAAGTCAACATCCATAAATTCTGTCACAATGGCCTCCTTCTCCAACGTTTCCTCGGACCTGATCTGGGAGATCACCCGTAAGTAGTCCTATTGACGGACACATATTTACGAACCGAGGTTTTCTCGGAAGCAATTGGAGTTTTGCTAACAATCACCCCTCCAATGACCAGGCAACAACAACAGCTTCCTCACCAAGAGCAAGCAGAATGGCGGTGCCCAGTTCTCCCGTGACCCCCTGAACCTTCTCAACAAGAACAGCCGAAAGCAGGCCGGTTTCGTCAACGACAAGGTGCGTTTGAAAACCGCGATCACTTTCAATTCGAAATTCACAAATTGACATATATGATTTTCATAGGCCGTCGGCATTGTTCGCAACGAGAAGGGATTCACCGTCATCACCAAGAAGGCTTCCGCCCCCACCAAGCCCAAGGAGGCCTTCCTCAAGTCTGAGCACAGCGGCGCCAAGTCCAGCCGAAAGTAAGGATTGCACTATCGACGAGAAAGTCTTGAAAAATAACTAACTGGGCACGCATCTAGGGCTTACAAGGCTGTCGCCAACCAAACCGCCAAGAACGGCTACCGTGCTGACCTGCGCGAGACCGCTGTTCAGCGCGTCTCTGCCATCCGCCGATCTCAGCTCCCCGTCAAGCCCGAGCCCGAGCAGAAGCTCCGTGGCAACAAGGCCAAGAAGGCCGCTGCCTCCGCGTAAGAGGTTGAATGGATATTTTTGGACAGGTCTTAGTTAGGAGCAAAGGGAATAAGCCTTCGCTTTTCAAGGCATGGAACAGCAACATTCCATCATTGTGGAACTAGACGGACCGCAGGGTCGGGGTTTGGCTTCATGGGAATTTTAAACAAAAGAAATTCGACATCAAACTACAATTGATTGCCTATTGCATTGTGAAGTATACCTGTGGCTGGACCTGCAGACTATACGGAAACGACTCTGATGGAGAAGATAATACCCTTATCGTAGCTATGACATGCGCAACGTTCTCTTTC